CCCCAAAACCCCAAAACCCCAAAACCCCAAAACCCCTCGACAAGTAATTAATTTTGAAATATTCTTTATAAACAGTCATTTATCTCCTACTGGTCTTCATCGGTCTTGAGATCTTCTCAAGGACTTTATCAAGCTTATAGGTACCCACTCCTGGAACTTCTGTTTTCTTCTTATTTAACTTAGTCCTTTTCAATTTCCCAAATACTGCACTTTGAGACCTCTTTATGAGACTGGTTCTCTTAATAGCAGTGTCATGGTTATAACTCCCTGGATCAGGTAGCTTCGTTTTCACTGGTTTCCAAGAGTATTTAGACTTTGGCTGCTTCATCTTGAATCCAATAAGTTTCTTATTTTACTAACGATTCATTTATGATATACTTGTTGGGAGCTGGTGTGGAGGTTCCCAAGTACTCTGACTCAGACATAAAAGTAATTCCCTCGGCTTTATCTCACTTTCCATATGTAGCTTTCATCTTTTCGGCAATTTTATACGCATTAGGTGCAGGTAGTCTTCTCTTAGTCTTTATTAAAGTGTCCAAAGCGGTGATTCTATCAGAGCCTTTTACTGATAGTTTAGATTGCCTCTTGATCCAATTTATTTCAGTATGGTGCTCTCATGGTGACAAATTCCTAGCTGTAGCGGCTTGTCGAGAATTCATATAATTACGAGCCTTTCCTTTGGGGATCGAATATTCAGGTGATCTTTTCTTTAAACTTCCTGATTTCGGTCATTTATACAAATCAACATCAAATTTAGAATTCTTGTTATTATTTAGAAGGAATGTTTTATGGGTTGTATTATTGTTATCAAATGGTCTATTCCGAGACATTCCTCCACGAGGGGTTATAGCTCTTCTAGAAGTACTGCTTATTCGACCATGAGTCAGGTTTCTCTGAGAGCTTTGAGAGGTCATACTTCGGATTGACTGTACTGTATCTCTTCCAGAGTTCATCATTTTTTAATTTTATTCAATATTTTAAAACAAATAGGGGTTTTGGGGTTTTGGGGTTTTGGGGTTTTGGGGTTTTGGGGTTTTGGGG